TCGGGGGGGGGGGGGGGCCCGCCCGGCCCGGGGGGGGGGCAGGGGACCATTGGCGATGTGTAGGGGATGCACATGCATTCCCTGAGCATGGCGGAGGCCCCCCTCAAAAAAGGTGTTGCTGACACTGTCAGTGGTGCCTGTAGGTGATTGCTGCTTTCCACCCACTACCCACCCCCCACCCCCCCCCCCCCGACTCAAATCCCCCCACATCCCTCCACACCCACCCACATCCCCCTACCCCCTTTCCCACCCCCTCCTGCAAACCCCACATCCCCCTATCACACAGCCACCATGTGATCAGGAAACCCAAAGCAAACATTAAAACATAGATATTTAGGATTTATTTTATTATGATGCTAGAGACACTGATAGGCTTCCAAATTTCATTAGCATTGTAAATATAACAATAAAACATTGCCCATCTGTACAATCCCCCTTTCTTTCTCTCTTTTGTTCTAATCGTGGAAGAATGTGGATTTTGAGGTATTTTAAAAAGTGAATTTGGAATGCTGCTTCAGCAGTCTAGCTGACAAAGGGGCTAGTTTCCCCAGATACCAATTGGCTGGGCCCCAGAAGCTCCTGAGGTCAAGTACCCCTGAGCTGCTGGCCAGGGCAGGTTTTTGTACTGCTGGGGCCAGGACAGGGCAGCTTTTTATACTGCTGGGGACAGCACAGGTGCTGGCCCTGGGCTCTAGCTCCCCCTGGCTGCAGATCCTGGAGGAGCTAGACAAGGTTATTTTGCCCCAAGTGGCACAATTTACTCCACAAGAAAGTGCATGTCCGAGCACGTGCGCTGAGGAAAAAGGCCCTGGCTCAAATTTGCACTGCTTCTATTTGAGCTGCTGCAAGTGCGCATGCTTGCATGTGTGGACCCGCCCTTTAGCTCTAGTTTTATCTGGGAATACCATTTTGTTTTCATGATGTCCTGTCTGGGAATTCTATTTCTACTTTCATATTTTGTTTCTTTCCCTTTTTGAATTATTTTTACTTCATCTAAATGCATTGTTTTTCTAGCTGGGTGTTCTGGATAAAAGGTAGATAAAGAAATCTTAATTGGTCTCTTCTTGTTTCATGTCATGTTCAATCTTATTTCCTTTGGCTTGCTTATCTGAAACTACAGTGTTCCTGATTTGTAAGCCTAAGGATCTCTGCATCAATGGAATCCACATTTCCTTTGGAGAGCAGACGTCAATTTCTCTAGTGGCTCCTGTACCCTGTCTCCAACATTTGGAAGACAGACCCCATCTCTTAAAGTTTTGAGAAGTAAAGCTGCTGCACTCAGCCATTCAGCCCCTCTGTCCTCTGGAATAACAGAACAACAAGTTAAGGCTGTCTAGTTTCCATTTGTTCAGATACCATATATCTTTCTTGTGCAGTTGGATCATCCAAGGGATGAGCCCTGGGACTGAAAGAATTAAAACAGATGCCTAAACTTAGGCTTCTAGACATCAAAATAAGTGGCCTAATTTTCAAGTGCATTAAACACCCAAGCAACCCACACTAGAGAACTGTGAAAATGGAGAACACTTTTTCTTCCCTAATCCTTGTCTTTATATTTTCTATTTGTTTTTCATACCTAGAAGATGTCAGGGAACCACACAAAAAAGAAGGAATCAGTACCTTTGAGTGGCCAATACTGTAAGGATGTCCTTAAATCACAGAGCCTGGGGCCAAATTTCGAGGGCTTGTCACAGCCCTGGCTGGGCTCCAATTTCACATGCAAATTGCAGCCAGCCACGCTGCTCCCCCTTATTGGTTGGGATGCCCACTTCCCCCTGGTTCAGCTCCCTGTCTAACTCTGGCCTGCACAGGGGAAAAATAACCCCCCTAGCCCCTCCCTGGCCCTGCACAGGGATAGGCCACTGCTGCTCTGATGCCCATCAGCTGGGCCCCACTGTCCCCTTACCATGACCCAGCTGTGCTCCCCACACCCTTCCCCAGCCCACACAGGGATGGGCTGCTGCCATACTGCTGCCCCCTGGCTGGGCCCTGCTGCTCCCCACCTTCCTCCCTTCCCCCACTGGCTCCATTCCCCTCCAGTCCAGTCATGTGCCCCCCCTCCCCCCAGTCCAGCTCTGTCTCCCCAGGCCCAGTCCCACTCCCCTCACCCTATCTCCCACCCTCTGCAGCACCCACTTATTTTGAGATGGGCCTGGCTGTGCCAGATGACTTTGGATGCAAATAAAATAACGCAGGACTGGGTCTGTCCCTGTCTGCTGGAGCTGCAGGGTTGAAAGACTCTATGAGGGTTGCCTGCTCACCCAATCAGCAGCCAGGGGTGAAAAAAGAAAAAACTCTTATTTTTACTTAGAGCCCAGCCTTTTTCTGATTTTTTTTGTAGGGCTCCTTTTTTCACAGACTTCTCCGATCTTCACGAAATATGCCTGATTTCACATTTTCCGCAAATATCGCAAAATCTTGATTTCAGTAAATCCCTACTGATAGGAAACAAAAGTCAGCCTGCTACCTGATAATTTATCTTGTGAAGCACTCTGTTTTACTTCTGTTCCCCATCCTTTTTTGTTCGGATACTCTACTTACTTATCCCTGTGTCCCTTCTCCAATCACTCCTAACTTCTATTTATATTCCTGACCTCACCCTATATTATATAGGACCAGGAAAATGAAGCTAGGAGCCTAGGCATGTTCAAGTCTGAGTTTAGCATGTTAAAGTCTGTTCTAGCTTACCTATGCAAATACTTTAGAATATCTTAGAACTTACTGTAGCAGCTTTGTAGCCACGATGGTCCAAGGAATGTCTGAGAAGCAAAGCTTGTTAGGTTATAACTTTTATTGGACAACTACATAGTCCAATAGGGACTATGCCCTTCCTCAGGTCTGACAACTACATAGTCCAATAGGGACAAGATGCCCTTCCTCAGGTCTGGGAAAGAAGCAGAGGTTTATCGCCCTCTTTTTTTTTTTAAGCAACTATTTTCATTTCCATTATGGGATTAAATTAAAGTAATATATTGTATTTGATGTTTAGCTTAAATGGTATCTCTTCTTTTCCAGACTTGTAGAAGGGCATATTGTGCTGAAAAGCTTGTTGAACATCTCCTCAAACAGAGGTAGGAGAGCGTACTTCAAATCATCCTTCCTAGGACTTGATAGGTAGCTTGTCTAGCACCACACTTCAAAATTAATTGGGAAAAGGCTTCAGTCTTATGCTGTAGGCCAGGGTTGCCCAAATAGCAGCCTGTGAGCTGCATGCAACCTACAACAGGTTAACTTGCAGACTCTGGGCTCTTGGGCTGGGCACCCTTCCTCCCTCCTATCACTCTCATATAGCTGTCACTGGGGTCTCGAGGCTCCCCCTCCCTCCCCTAGCTTCCACTTCTTGTTCTCTTTCCTGGGGGCACAACAGGGCTAGGAGGCCCATGGGGCCCAGGATGCCTGCATTCTGGGGGGGCTGCACCACACAAGGGGTGGTTCGGGGTTGGGAAGGTCTGGCCACTCAGAAGTTGGACAGCCCTGCTCTAGGACCTACTATAGCCCATGAGCACATCTATTTGTATAGAACTTTAAATCAAAAACTTTTGAGTTAACAGCATGTGTGACTGTGGATGGGCTGGCAGTCAACTGCAAAGTCAGGCTGACTGAAAATGAGGGTCCAGGTGCAGGGGTCAATTGGAGGACTGGATTAAGAGGGAGGAGCTGGAATAGGGAATGACTTGGCAAATTTGAAAGAACAAGGAGAAGAGGAGCCAATTATATTATGTTATTTATGTACTAACAAGAAGTATAAAGAAGAACAAGTGATATTAATTCTATTGATGCACATTCTAGATATGAAGACTTGCTAATTTCCACCAAGCAATCTTCTCTGTACAAGTTTCTACTTGCTATCAGCATAAATAATGACAGCTTTGGGTAGAGAGCAAGTTCTTAACATTAGAATACTCCTGTACCATTTAGTGAGCTTTGACTTCCAAATAAAATCAATAAAATAGGAAAAGGGAGATTTTTTATGAAATCATTCTCACTTGAACCTGATCAAACAACACACACAGCTGTGTGTAAATTGAAGCATGTAAATAGTTCTATTGAAAACATGCCACTTTTTTTTAGACTTTAACCTACCCAGAGCCACAAACATTTTTAGAAGTATAACAGCCCTAGCAAAATAAGTAATGGGAGTGTGCAGAGTTGTAATTCAGTTTAAACATAATTTAGCTTAAAAATAATAGTATTGAATAGGCCTGTGCAAAGCGGCTAGTATTCACTTGGGATTCGGATTGACACTGTCCCAAATCAATTTGGCTGAACCTAATTCGGAGATTTGGCCGCAGCTGAATCAGCCAAATCTCCAAATTGAGAGCTTTGAATCAATTTGGACCTTTTAATTGGTCTCCTGATTCAATTCGGATTCGGCGATTCGGCCACTGAATCAGGCCGAATCTCTTCCGACTTGAATCGGCACCCGAAGCTTTGCACAGCTCTAGTATTTAATGCATTGGAATAGAATTACCAAAAAGAGGTTCAGTTGTTCAACTCTGATGTATCCCTCCCCCACCCCCAAGAAAAAAGATTGCCATCAAGGCTCAGATTTATTAAATAAATAAAACTCATGTTTTACCACAATTTCTACTATAGATATTGTACCTACATTTTCCTTTTCTGTCCACAAGAGTTGTTACTGGAAAGTAATTTGCACAGGAATAAATCAGAGATTTCATTTTCACCATATACTGCAGTGAAATGAGTTGCTTGCAGGCATACTATTTATAGGTGTAAACTCCACACACAAAAACAGAGACAAGGCACGACTTAAAAGGGATGAAATTATATTATGCAACAAAATTATCATTTTATCTAGATCAGTCTGTAATCAACATGTCAAACCATTACTTATATCTGGTGCTGTTTACAAGCATCTGAAATACTACTTTGAAAAGTGTTACAGGAAGTAAGAACACAGCAACCAAGCTGATTACTTACCTCATGGTGTGGTTGATCAACTGTTCTCAGACAGCCAGCTTCCTCTCCTTAATAAGCTGGAAGACTGATTGTGTGTGCTGCTACAATAGTCCTATTTATGTGCACTTGGCCACCATGTGTTGTGGGCTGTACTGCAGCATTCAGTGAAGTAAATGGAAACTAGAAAGTGAAACTCATGCCAAGGCCACAATGCAGAAGCTGAACAAGCTGCTAGAAGGGAAATCGAAAGTTATGGTATGCAGATCTGTTTATTTTGTCCATGTTTAGCTTTATTCCATAGGCATCACTGTGTTACAGAGATTATGGCAAAAAATGCTGAAGACCTCACAGGGTATTTGGGCACATCTTTTTAATATAAACTAATTTAAGGCTGTACTTTGCTTAACCCACAAAGATGCAGGTAAGTGCAGAGGGAGGATGTGTGTGCAGCTCATGTTTTGAACAGCTGCACAATCCAAAAGCTGGGGATGAGGGATCTATTTCTATTCCTGGCTCTGCCACTGACTCACTGTAGGACTTTGGACTGGCTATCCATGTTCATGTGGATCTCACTAGGACTCAGGCATCTAAACATCTTAAAGGGGGGCAGAAGTGGCTGCTTTTGGGTCACAGTAACTGCCTTTGTGCATACTTTTATCCCATAATAACTGGAAGCCAAACATTTTACTTAAAAAAAAAAACTAGTTTTTCTGTCCAAGGCCTAAACATCATGTCCTGAAAGTAGAGACCCTACACTAGCCTCTGCTACCAGAATCCCCACAGGCAGCTCTGTGTCATGGAAAGGGACTATGTCAGTATTAATGGATATTAGGACTCATTGGTATTGCCCTCTCCTAATAGTAAGCAATAATACCTGTAACTCCTACCTAGGGATAGGGGCAACTTTGTGCTATAGAAAGAGGACATTAAGACATTTTTTAAATGAGTACAGTAAGATAAAATGGACCTTGCCCCACAGATCTGTAATCTAGACTATAAAACACTTGTTTACAAGCTGACCATATTTATCTTCTGTTCTCAAGATCTGATATCAGTATATTTATGTTTCTAGTTCACCATCTCACCTCTTTGGTTTGGTGGTGATCTTCTGCATATTGCTTATCTCAATGGATTTTTGTTCTTTGTACTTTGGTAGGCCACAGTGAGTATATCACATTAAAGTCCTGTCTCTCCCCTTGTGCCAAATCTACTTCTGCTGTTGGTGCAAAGCTTTATACTTGGTCCTCAGAGCTATCACTACGTCAGGACTCATCCTTTAGGAAGCTGTCAACTAGTTATTTGCTAGGATGCCATCAAAGCATCTTATCCCCTTTGGGTCAACATGGACAAAATATATGAGAACAAGGTAGAGAACGAACTTCCAAAGAAAAGTAGATTAACACAACATGGGAGCATCCAGAAAAGTGTGCCTGTTGCAGCATCTCAAAGCAGTTTGAGACACTGCAAGAGGCACACTGTGAACAAAAAAATGTTCCAGGTATCAAAAAAAACCAACCTGCGGAGAAGAAGTGGGACAGGGCATGGTCCAGGAATGTGCCCTAAGGCAACTGGAGGTGGGGTCTTCCAGAGAGACACTCCAGAGTGTCTCTATGGTGCTCCTGTTGCCCTTGTATGCTCCATCAGTGTGCTGAGGCATACAGGAGCACGGCAAGGTTGCAGCGTGACCCGGACCTGGGCACTGTCCCTGGTAAGTAGGGACGTGCGGGTGGAGGGGCTGTGGGTATATACGGGGGGGCTGTAGGTGTGGGGGGGATTGTGTGGGGGTGGAGGGTCTGCTCACGGGGCATGGGTCCCCCACAGGGTGCACAGTTCCCCGCAGCAGCAGCAGCTGTGGAGCACTCAGGGCCTGCTGCTGGCAGAGTCCCCCTGCGGCATGGCCCCAGCCTCCTGGCATCCAGCACCATTTATGCCTCATGTTGCAGGCCCATCTTGCCCTGGCCTGACCCAGGAATGTGTGCACCTTCGTGCAGCACCGGGCCACTGTGGCTGTCACCCGGGGGCCTGGCACCACTCACAGGGGACACATGTCGGGCCAGGCTGGGCCCTGCCTCCAAGTGCCCCATGCACTGTCAGGCTGGGCATTTACATACAGACAGAATCTGACCCGGTCTGACATGTGGCCCCTGCGACCATTCTAATAGCTAGAATGGCCCAGTGTTGCCCAAAGGTGCATGGCTCCAGGCCAGGCTGGGCTGGCTCACGACATGTGGCACAGTCGGTGCCGGGTACCACACAGCTGCTGCTGGGTGGGGGCAGGCAGTCAGTGGGCTATGTGGGGGAGGAGGGCAGGCTGTGTTCCCTGCGGGGGGCAGGGGACCCATCCCTCCTGAGCAGCATCTCACCCCCACACAGCCCCTCCACAATCCAGCCACAAACCCACCCCCCAAACCAATCCCCAAACTCCTCACCCCCATCCCCATACCCCCTGCAACTTCACTCCCACAAACCCTACACCCACCCACAACACCCCTGCCACATCCCTTCCTCCCCAAACCTCACATCCCTCCCCACAAATCTCACATTCTGCATGCCCAGCCAGCCACTTGGGATGGGAAGGACCTGCTGGTGGGAGCTGCAGCTGCAGGGGCAACTGCCACGTTGCAGCCCTGCCTTGTGCCCACACCAGTGCTGGGACATGCAATAGCAGCCTGGGGGGCTCTGGGTCCCAGGAACCACTTGGTGGGTGTGATGGGCTTGGGGGAGGGGTTGAGGTGGTAGCAGGGGTGTGTGTGTGTGTGAGAGAGAGATGGGGGTCAGGGTTGCCGAGTGCTACGGATAGGAGAGGCCACCAGAGCCAGTCTTAGAGCCCCCCTGCCCTCCTAGAGCAGCCTGTGCAGGGGGAGGCTGGCCTGGAAGAGAAGGGCCTTGACCAGCCCAGTCCCTGAGCCCCAGTCAAGGGCTTCCCAGGAATGGCATGGGGATCACTGGGGTCTGGGCACAGGCACAGGAACCAGAACAGCAAGGACTGGTGCTCCTCAGAGCCACAAAGCAGTGTATGGGACAGCTGCAGCTGGTGTCCTGGTGCTAGGATGGAGCTGCTGCCAGGAGGGAGTTAGTGGGGGCAGGAAGGGGCTGCCGGTCTGGAATGAAGGGACTTGGGGGGGGACTGTGGGCTCAGAGTAAGGGGCAAGGTGAGGGGCAGGACACCATTATATCAGTGCTGCTTAGTGCTCTACATCCTTGTGAGTGAAGGGGGCAGAGGCAGCTCTGATTTTACTGTTAAAAAAAACCAAAAGCAAATGCCAAAGTGTATAGATATTTACAATTTTTATTGTGATAATGGCACTGATAGGCTTCCAAATTGCTTCAGAATTGTAAATATATCAATAAAACATTGCCCAACTGATTGATCGATCTCTGTATATATAGTGGTGTTTTGTTTTAATCATGGAAGAACATGGAACTTGGGGTATTTTAAAGAGGGAATTTGGGATTTTTTATTAGAGAATTTGCAATTTTGAAACAGGGAGCACCAGGATTCCTGCTAGTGTGGCAAGTGGCAGGTCCCATACAGAGGAGTCTGCCCAGGACTGGCACCAGGGACCCAGCTGGAGGGCAAATAAGGTAGCTGACCTCCTGACCATTTGGGACCAGGAAGACAAGTTTTGACAGCTCAAAGCAGACCACCACACTGAGCACATCTTCCAGGCGATAGCTACCCAGATGGCAGGGCAAGAGCACACATGGCAGCAGTGCCTCACGAAGGCAAACTGTGCAGCCACAGCCCAATGGCAGTTGGCTCAGAGGTGCAGGAGCCTCTGGTGCAGTGCCCATGCCACAGTCCAGGCAGCCAAGCAGTCCTTGTCCAGGTCTGGAAGGCACGCAGACATGGGGCTGCAGGTCCAAGGGGGCAGATGCTGTTGCAGGTGGCAGCAGGTCACAGCCAGGAAGTAGCCCCTGCTGCCAGACTGCTGCAGTGGGTAGAGGGTGCAGAGTCCTCTTTAGGTCAGGGTTGCTGCAGCAGTCGAGCTGGCATAGGGCCCTAGTGCCCCCAGATACCAACTGGCTGGGCCTGAGAAGCACCTGAGAGCAAGTAGCCCTGAGCTGCTTGCCAGGGCAGCTCTTTATACTTCTGGGGCTAGCACAGGTTCTGGCCCCAGCCTCCAGCTCCCCCTGACTGCAGATCTGGGAGGAGATGGGCAGGGTCAAGTTGGCCCAAGTTTCATAGTGTCATAGTTGGTAGGGTCAGAAGGGACCTGAGCAGATCATCAAGTCCGACGCCCTGCCATGGCAGGAAAAAGTACTGGGGTCAAACGACCTCGGCAAGGTGTTCGTCTAACCCCCTCTTAAAGACCCCCAGGGAGAAGCCAGCACCGCTTCTATTGGAAGTTGGTTCCAGATCCTAGCCGCCCTGACTGTGAAGTAGTGCCTCCTGATGTCTAGTCTGAATCTACCCTCTGCCAACTTGCCTCACACCAAAGTGTATGTTCAGGCACGTGTGCTGAGACAAAAATCCCTGGCACAAATTTGTGCCGCTTTTATTTGAGCTGCTGCAAGTGCATGTGCCTATCCACATGTGTGGATGCACCCTATCTAATACTGCAACACCTTCCTCTATGACAGGGTCTTACAGCCATAGCCACATACAATACATAAATGACTTCTCATTTCCAGTAATAAAATGGAAGTAATTAGAACTCCAAACTCATTGAAGTCTAGTAAGGACCATACTTTGCTTTCTGTTAACCTTGGAAAGGTATAGAAATAAAACTGCTAGGTAGATTTCTAGTACCACAGATGACATGTGTGTGTGTTTAAGCATGTAAAAAAAGACTCCACTTTTTTTTTCTAATGCTTTATAACAGGAAAAACTGACACACTTATTTTCATGTTCCAAGCTGAGTTAAGTTTAAGAAAAAATGGTGAATTAAAAAAAAAAGTAGACAGAACAAGAAAAGTATAGAAAATAGCTTTCAACCATGTTAGTCAAAGAGTTTAATTGGTAATAATTTGGTATGCTCATTAGATTCAGAAAATGTTGCATATTCGTAAGGTTTTCTTGTATGAATTTATGCAACCCCTGTTATGAACTTACTAAGATTTCAGTTTCATTTCTAGAAAAATTGAGGCAT